AAGAACGTGAAATGTTTTTCCTTCTACATATATATATACACACACACACACACAACTGGTGGCATTGTGCTGTGTGAAGCAGTTCTACAGCAGAGTCATAGGTGAACTGGTGTGCTTGAGCTGCAGTGCTTGTGGATGTGTGAATGGACAGAAAAGTGTGAGCTTCATAAATCTGAATAACCCAGAGAAGGTAACGGAGTAGAGTTAAGTCTTTTTCTAAGCCCTTTCAAGGCAGGAAGTCATTGTTTTTATGGAAAAAAACTTCTGAATATGTAACTTTGGTCCAAAAAAAAGTGGTTTTGAGGTGAAATCAAGAACCAGAAAAAGACTTTCAGTAAATTTGGCTATGTATTATCATAAAAATGTTCTAAAGGCGTTAAAAAGGGCTCAACGCAAAATGTCCCTGTATTCTCAATAATCCAGGTCTTGATAATCCCAAGTTTTTCAGTAGAAGGCAACTTGACTTTTTGGCTCTTAAAAACATTTTACCTCTCATCCAAACTGCTTCCTCAGTTTGACAACTCATTCCTTCATGCAAAAAATATTCCTCCTGACCGTTGTGCCATTAGGTATGCTATCACTGAATTTCTATTGATCATGTATGAATGTGAAAGCAGTATTTTACTGCTGCAGTTGGTTGAGCTGGAGCTCATTTTGAACTATTTTGTATCCAAACATAGTGATTAGTTTGTCCATTCATTGATTCATTGTTTGGTTTGTTAACATTCTGAAAACAGTGGGATATACCGTCGAAATTACCCAGAGCCAAAAGTGACACCTTCATTTTGAGTGTTTTGTCCAACCAACAATCTGAACCTAGAAATATACGTTAATTTCTTTTACAGTTATTGAACAGAAAAACAGCAGCTCTTCACATTTGCAAAGCTGGAACCATTAACTGTTTTAATACGAAAAATATTTCAACAATTGACAAAAATAACTGTCAAATATTTAATTAGTCAATAAAATAATTGACTAATTATTCAGTTGTGCTTGTGTGAGCTGTTGAGTCATTTGCTTTATAGCAAAATATCCAATTTTCTAATCTCTTTGTGTATTTTGCGTACATAAATCTAAATTTGTAAAGCAACTATAGCTGTCACATAAATGTAACGATGTATAAAGTACAACATTGTCCTCTGAGTCATGATGGAGTAGAAGTAGAAAGAGGCACGAAAAGAAAAGTCTCGAGTAAAGTCGGGGGGCCTGGGGATGATGGTAACACTTTTTGTTTGAGTAAGTGTAACTCAGTGGTTCTTTGTGCTAGAGATCTTAAACTTTGACATGTGGTACCCATATTTGTCTGCTATAAATGACATACACTTGGACTACACCATCACAGGTTATGTAAATTAATCTCAAATACAAAGAGGTATGCTGTAACAACCTACCCCAACACCGGGATGAGTTGTGACATTACTTGAGGATGGATGTAACAATTATATTATTAGGCTTCAAAAAGACCCACACTAATAAATCTATGGAAGCACTTTAATGAATAATAAAGAAGAAACCACAAACTTGTAAGACTATAAAAATAATGACAATAAAATAAATACAAAGTATAAGTTACATATAACAAAAATAATAAGATACATAAATAGAAATAACATAAAATAAAGAATAATAAATAATAAACTGGGGTGTGTTGAGCCTGAAACAGGTTCATGTGAAAAAGCATTTGAACACTTGAAGATCTGTGAAACTCTTTGAACAGGAGACCAGTAAAAAAAAATGTCAACAAAAGGGGAACGTTTAAAGAACAGTTAGAACCCTCCCCATGCCTGCCAGCCATTAAAAAGCTAAATGTTTTTAGCATTTAGCTTCAAAACTAGCACTGACACAAGACATCAAATTAAACTAGAGAAACTACTGTTTGAGCTTATGTAACTGAAACAATTGTATCTACAACACAATGGACAGCATGCAACAAATATCTGTGATGACAAATTTTACTTTCTTACCTCAAAAATTGTTTCTTAGCTCTAGAACAGATAGTTTTTAACTCAGACATATGAGGCTTCACCAGTGAGTTCAATTTGTAAGTGGACATGGACTGTATTGATGACATCACCACAGCTCATTTCTGACTGAGAGTGTTACAACTATCCCAACTACCATCCCTGGTCTCCCATACCTCAGATTTGCAACTAGATATAATACTTGAGTAAAAGTACATAGCTAGATTCCACTAATTATGTGTGTATGGTGTTTAGATGTTTATTGTACACAGTGGATTAAAACGACAAAAAAAAAAAACTCACAATGTTGTGATGCCCAAAATAAGAAATAATAATAAGAAACCTGTTTTGTGTAACAGGCACAAAGCATTAACATTATAATTAAAGCTTTGCATTGATAAAAATGCCTTCTGGGACTTCTGCAATTGAAAGTGTTGCAATATGAAAGTAATTTTGGGGGTTAATCTTTTTACTTTAGAGAGATCTTTAATTTCTCATCTCATTCACAAACATCCTCTACCGCTCTCTATGAAGGCAGATGTAGTATTGTTCTGTGTTTGTCTCCATATTAAAGCCATAACTCTGTAAAATGAATATTGTGCGACACCTCTCATGTATGTGCAACATGCAACATCCGTGAGCTACAACATATGATATCACAAAATGTTTTCTCTCCAGTGGAGGAAGAGAAATGTTGTCCATCACTGCAGAGACATGCTGAAAGACACTACGGAGACCTGCAGTATGAGTTTACACACTATAAACTGACGCTCCTGGACATGTGAGTTCATGACGCATGGCAAATGATGAAAATAGAAATATCAACACAAGCGTCATATATTTCGGAAGCGTTTTGAGATATCTCCCTTGTTCAGGAGCCAGCGTCACAAACAGCGAGAAACTGTGACTTTAACTGGCGGTGACAGTGACACGACACATTCACCAGCTGGGAAATCCAGCGCTGTCTCTGCACAATAACTTCAACGCAGACAGAGCACCTCAAGGCGTCGCCTGCAGATCACTTGTTAATCCTTGATTTTCATCTCCATAACACGCCTGAGTCACTGTGTCAATATCCCGTGGACTCGTTTATTGGTTTGCTCAGAATCTCTTTATGGCATCTGTGGACCTTTGTCATAAATGTGAACCAGGTTTATCATTTTTACTGTTGCAAAGCAAGACAAATGGATCAACAGAACGCAAACAACAACCATACATTAACTGTGTGTAAGACCAAAACACATAAACCATGAAACTGGGTATTTGCAGAAGAAGTAAGAGCTATTTTGTGGCTTAACAATGCCACCTGCTGTCCTGAAAAGATCATGTTGGTATGACATGACAGTCAACTCAAAAAGTGTTACAACAACATAGTGAGGGTTGACACATTATAAAGGTTAAAGTAAAAAACTTGTCCATTCAAAAAAAATGTAAAAAGTGCAGTTAAAAGAATATTATAGTTACATTTCTTTTGTTTAAATGTATGTTTCTTAAATAATATAAAGATAAATAGAAATGCAAAATAATACAAAATAAAATAACTCCTCCTATTTGATTTTATTATAATAATAATAATAATATCTTTATTTATAGAGCACTTTTCATACAAAGATGTAGCTCAAAGTGCTTTCCAATTTAAAAACATAAAACAAACAAAAACATAAAACAAACAAAAACAAAACACGCACATATAAACCCACGTACTTGCCCCCACGCACACACAATCACCCACAGAACCACATACACTATAATAATGACAATATATATTTTATGTCATTAACATAATAATACATATCATCATCCATCCATTTATTATCTATACACCACTTAATCCTCACCAGGGTTGCAGGAGGGCCTGGAGCCTATCCCAGCTGACTCAGGGTGAAGGCAGGGGACACTCTGGACAGGTCACCAGTCTATCACAGGGCCACACTTAGAGACAGACAACCAAGCACACTCACATTCACACCTACGGACAATTTAGAATCACCAAT